AGAGCAAGCTTCCGACACATGTGGAATGCCTCTTCGGTAACAGGAGTCGTTTTCCATGCCACTGGACGAGGAATAATCATGAACATCAATGGTGAATACAAGGTCAACAGATGCCACGAATTTTTCAACACCAACATACCTATCGTTGGCAACATAAATCCAGCTAAAGTAAATGATATTCTGTTCTAGTGCTGCCTTTAATAGGCCTAGAGTTTAAATTAGCTACGAAAATGCAGCTATAAAGAGAAAATAATAGATCCCATAAAAGAAAAACTATTCACTACAAGCTAATAAACAGAAAAGTAGATAAAACTTCTAGAAAACGGTACCAAAACGGCGAACTATAGAAGGAAAACGCCAATACTCGAAACCATAACGAAGATTCAGTTTACCTCATCTAAACCATTTTTAAAAAGTAAGCTAACTGTTGCGGTTCTCTGCATGGGTATTCCAAGCTGTTTAAGAATCATGAGGAAAAGCGCGAGTAGCCAACTAAACGACTCCGTATATGCCGTATCTCCACATAGTTTTAAGGTAGAAACATGAGCAACTATCATAATCACATACCTTCGTTTAAACAAAAAATATTAAACAGAATCCTAACATTACATACATTTAATGATTTTACATCATAAGTTACATACATGCATACAACATCATACATAAGACATAATCATGATTATTTACCTCACATACAATTATCGTAATTGGTGAAATGATTTGCAGGTTACAATTGAAATCAACAGTGCTTTATGCTTACGCCAAATAGGGTATCATGCGCCTGGGTCGATTCTAATCTGCAACCAGCTACAATTGATATCCCTCTGTCATTTAATAACAGAAACTTACTGCATGCAAAATCAAATGCATCAGTTACTTCTTGCGAACTATACTCCGTGTTGACTTTTGTATCCGGTCAGTAAGGCAAATTGCAGATATTAACTTAACATGTATTAAAAAATGTCAATAATCTGGGGCCTCTCTTAACAGTGAATTTAAACTATATCTCTGATGAGAATGATATCCTGACTGTTCACAAAATTGCATTCGCACTGTCTCATTGCTAATAAATGCATGAGGAATTGTTTGAGCAGGCGAGGCTCCGTAAAAATTGAGCACCTGTAATATTTCCATATTATATTTCCTGTTTTCGACGAGCAAATGCGGTTCTTCACACTGAGTTTTGCCAAACTATTTGCGTTCATATATGAGTTGTGATGCCACAATCTTAAGAATTTATATACACAATGAATGATTAGTGTTGCACCGACTGCCAACAATACCCTTTTCAATATTGCGTTGAAAAACATTATGATGCAAAATATGGTCTCTATTTTTCGTAAATGACCGACTTGCTCTCTACTTCTCCGGCAGTTACACTAAAATCCATGTTGAATGTCTTTCTCAGTTTCAAAGAAATTCAGGCCTCTCGTGAGAATCGAACCCTGCAAATCTGATTTAAAGTGCAATGCGACTGTCAAAGCTACTGCCTGCTTTATAATGACACGTCTAATTTACCATTGCTTCTTGTTCATCGCCGTAAGTCACTTATTAACGGTCTACCCCTATTAATTTCGAATTTCTACGTATTTTGTTCGCTTCATTTCCATATGATAAGTTCATACTGTTCTTGATGCATCAGTATTATCACTTCAATCATTCAATGCTGACTGAATAAAAGAAAAATTTGGCCATTCTGGACAGCAGTGACAACCGCAACATTGGATGTCGCCACAGGCATTTATGCCCCGTACAGGAAGCAACACTGTAAGCAGTTTTAAAAGACTTCTTGCTGCTCTATATTATTCGACTATTTATTGCAAATAGCATTAATTTCGAAAATGATTTGAAATGCCCAAAATCTTAGATACCTGAAAAACTATCTTTCGTAAATTTCTAGCTATTCAAATTTTAAATTTTTTGCAATCCACTGAATTTTTTTGTCATGTCTATCCGTCGTTTTAAGTTTTAATGAATAACGGATGATAGCACATCACCAATTTTTTGGTTACGGATAACACTCGTGGAAAGAATGTTTTCATTCCTTAGTGCCATTAAAACGTTAAACGAAATTTAGTTAGCAGCACATCAATAAAAGCATCGCATCGCTACAGCACAGGACATATATGATGATCATGATAATAATCTTAAACATTCAAAACGACTGAAAGTTGCTGCGATGGTGAAGAAATCTACGTAGAGAAACAATCTTCAAGCGATATCACGAATACATGAAAAAGTGTAACTAATATGCTACGAAAGTGAAAAAAATGAATCAAGCGCGTCAGCCGCGCATTTTCGTGTAAAAGTAGATTTCCGGTATTTGTCCGTCTTCCACAGATGTACCATTGTTGTTGCCATAACCGGAGTAGCTGAACTGGAATGTGACCGCTGGTCCGCAAACCGGCTGAAAGACAACACGCTGTAATCCTTTGCTTCCGTAATGCGAATCCGGTCCCTAAACAAGTCTAAATTAAAAACGGGGAACATGAGTATCGTATACTTAAGCAAGGTATAAACTGAAACTCAAGCAAAGGAATTTAGCACACTGAATATTAGAGGGAAACATCTGGCATCAGCACTGAAGATATCTGACATTCATTTTTTCCTGTGGAATTTATGGTGTCATGAAACTGTCAAGTTACCCTAAAATGAAGATGGACATTTACTGGTTTTGAAATACAAGTCGGTAAGCTCATCGTATTTAGAAGATTTAAGGAGAAAACTTGTTCTAGATGAAACTGGACGCGTGTCATTTCTGCGAGGTGAGTCAACTCAAGGCGAGATTTCAGCCTTCTGACCGTAACTATATCAATTCCTCTTAGTTATTGATACTATTTTAATGTTCTTTCTACTTAAGATGAGGCACTGCTCCGTGATGCGGAGGCAAGACCGTTGGTGAAGAGACAGCTGTCTTCGGGCTCACAGGAAAAATTCCGTGCGGGCAATACCTCAGCCTCAGAGCCGCTACCTGAAACCCCATTCGGATGGGAAAAGGACAAACGAACGTTCTCTCCAAGACATCTGACGAGCGTGAGCAGTAGTTAGAACTATTTGTCGAGATGACATGGAAAATGGAAAGTGGAAGAAACATGGCTCCCAATTTCTTGCATGCAGCTCGGATTAGACTACACGGAGTTCCTCGTGTGACTGACGGATAAACGATGGAGTTCAGTCGTGACGGACTGATACCCAATGGAATGCAAGCACCACATTGAAAGACCTCAGGTCAGATGAGATGATCAGCTAAAAGACACGTGAAAGCATATGGGCGACAAATCACATGAAAAACAGACAAGCATGGGCATTGAGAATAAGTAGTGATGATCCCGTTTAACTCTGAAAAAGGATCAAAAAGTTAGCATTAAAAGTTTCTGCCCTGTAAGCCACTGAATTTGCCCACTGCCATGAAACTCTCTAACTCTCAAAATTTCAGCCTTCATCTACATGAACAACCTCTCAAAACAGATTCACATGCATTATGAAATTGATGCCAGTTAACAATTTCCTGTTGGACATTTAAACAAGCCATGGTCCCATAATATTGTAACAGTTGCAGTTTATCATTTTGTTGGCTAGAACAACAGCTTGCCTGCAAACAAGTATTTAAACACAAATACAGTGGCGTGTCAGGAATAAGAGACAGAGGTTACAACGTTGTTGCAAGAAGCTTACACTGATCTGTGCGGAGGCGATGTACGGAAAACAGGGTTCAAGCTTCACGGGCTCTGAGAACAACACTTTGAAAGTTTTGATAGAGCCATCGCACTGAAACGACGTGTCGTTGCAAGCCAACACTTTGCCATTTACACCGTTAATAAGCTAAAAAGCAGTACGGATTGTTGAATACATCACTACACGACAATACATCCGTAAAGGCCTACTTGTATTTTGACAGTGTACTCGGTTGGACCGTGAACAGAGCCGTAAAGACCGAAACCGACCAAATAAATCCGTCTGTTCACCATAAACCTGAAAAATCGGTTTGTAGACTATCGACGATAAGGTGTGTGATGAGGCCTACGGAATAATAACATAATAGAAAAAAACAAACAAGAACCAACTTTTGAATACACAGGCACGGGTTAGTTGTGCGTTACCAAATAGAAGAGACATACAGTGACAAGGATCCATGAGCGGCAAAATGCTCAGTAAAATAGTGATATGAAATGCCTATAGATACACTACTACTATAATCAGTCGATGATTTGGAAATATGATTCTGTAACCAGGCCCACAAAATTAACCGAAAGACTTTCTTAAAAACCGACATTCCAGGCAAGATTTATACTTTGAATCAACAAGAAGGTAATAGGATATATTCATTCTTTGATAACGCACACAGTAATTTAGCAGTTGCCTGTCACCTCTCCGAATTCGCACGGCGAAGTCACATCGTCTCCTTTCTTCTAATAGCTTACGAAAACTGTTAAGCAGGAGACATCTATGGTATCTTAGGCGTAGGCGCAAAACAGCACAACAAAACTGTTCGAACAACAACGAATACGAATATATCTATAAACATTTATAATAAAAAGAGAACCCAGTTTGCGAAGAAACTGTCAGTTTTTGAAAACCACATAACTTTATTTGAGTCTGACGATCCCCCGAACTACTAAAAGCAAAGGAACTGGGCGAATACGCTGGACGAACCCGGAAAACTGACATACTTCTTTCCGGCGGAACTGAAAACCACTTTGCTGGCAAAACCATGATAGGGGGTGAATGGGGTATGGGAGGGGAGATTCATTTGATATAACCTGTACCGGAGAACGACCTGGAATTTTATTTTTTAATTACTCCTTAAACGCTGAAAGGTGTTTCTGGAGAAGAACCTGGAAATGGAAACAGCGGTTCTTCCAGGATATCGAGGCACTGCTGAAAGTGAAAGCTGACAAATTCATTGCACATAAATATTTTTCTTTGTTTGTTTAAATTATTTAATACAGAATGAGGAAGAGCGAAACCACTGTGACGGCAAAGTAAGAGCAACAAATGCGAATGAATGCCATGAAAAAAGAATAATGACCATCCGTGAGATCGCGGAAACCAACTGTCGAAATGAGATGCTTCTGATCGGCTGTTAGCGTGATGAGGGTAAAAAACTTCGGCAGAAGAGAGTTTGAGCTACCAAACAAATTGTTTCACACCTTGCCATGTTCCGGGATAAGTGATATGAGCAGGTTCGTTCGGTTTTTTACCCGACCATATTACCGGAATTTATGGAGAAAACATGAACATCAATTAATATGCCCCACGTTTGATGGTTGGAGAGCTCATACTTGAAAAACCTTTTGTTTAAAGCTAAATAAATAACAATGAATTCCATATGATCTGATAGTAACATGCGGTGAATAAGCAAATATACATTAATTCATTGATATTCGGGATATTTACGTTAATGTTAACCGACGGCTGTAAAAAATAT